CTGTAATATGTATATCGTTGCTTTTGTAAAATGAATGATTGGTCTTGTATTTTTTAGTTTAATTCAGATTTCTATAAAGTCACCCCTTCATCAATACAACAGCTATAAAAAAAAGATAAATGAATTTGTGCAATTTAGTTTTAATTTGAATTTTTCTGTAATCATAAAAAAATTTATCATAGAATCATATAAATTCTAGTTAATGATTTTAAAATGTTGATCCCTTATGAACTACTAGTTTCTTCATGCTTTTGAATTATTTCCCAGATTTTGGTTTTAGATTTGCCAGTTAGTATGCTACATGAAGTTATCTCTAATAAACTTACATTAGTTCATGATTATATATATTTGCATATCATAAAATAGCGACATAAGTCCAGTAATAATCTAAAACTAATTTAAATTTGGTCGTAATAACAATTTATTAATAAACATAAACGTAATAAATTATAATTTTAAAAATTTTTTCATAGAAAAATTTATATGAGATACTTTTAAATGCTTTGACATAATAACTTACTCAAAGTCAAGTTGAATATTACGAAATCAAAATCAAAACCAAAAACAAAAAGTAGTTGTGCTCTGCAGTGTTGCGATATACCCACATAACATATATTACGTATATATGTATAATATTTTTATTGCATATTTATACACAAGTGAATATGTATCAACGATATTTATACTCATATAGTTAAATAATCTTTCATGCACTTGTGCCGCCTATATTCATATGACTAGCTCGCGTTCTCTCCATTCATAGTCGCAGTTTTGTATCTTGTATCTTATGCGAATGTAGTCACTAATTGAACCACTTTTGTATCCATTGTTGTGAGTGAGTTGTGCCACATAAAACAACAATAATAATAAAATAATGTGGCTTTGCTGATACTAATTTTTTTTGATTTGGTTTCTAGTGTTGTTAGTTATGTTTTTTTCCCTTTAATTAACTTTTTATTTCAATTCCACTATGTTTTTGTTCTTTCTTTGTAATTCATTTATCTACAATTTTTTGAACGATAGGACAGTTGTTATTATTTTCGACCACATTTTTTTTTAGATTGTTGAAGAGAGTTTTCCAAAAAAAAAAATAGTTATTAAAGAAATGAAATATTTTTTGCTTAACAATTTTTTTTATTTTAACTATACAAAATTTTAATGTTATATTACAATATTTAGTATTTAAAGTCATAATTTAGTTCAATGCCAATGAATTTTAATGTTCAACATTACGTACAATGCGAATAAAATATTTTTAAAAGTATACTATTTTAGTGTCTATTTATTAAAATTATATGAAATAAGAAAACCATTATGAAATTACATTTTATATGTGTTAGATATTATGAGAATTTGTTATGTTTATCAAAGACTTTTTGTCGTTATTAGAATTTGTGGGTAGTTATACGTTTTAATACAAAGGTTTACAACCACATCTTGTTTAAAGTCCTTTATTGGTAATTAAATTGGTAATTAAACAATAAAATGAATTATATTGAATCTAGTTAATTTTGAATTAAAACAAAGAATACATAAAAATTGATTAATATTCACAAGAAATTTATTAATTAATAAAAAATTAACTAGTTTTTCAACACAATTTAGATAATTGTTGTTTTTAAGTTTAGTACATTTTTCATGAGAGCAGCAGAAAATTATTGAATATTTCGCACTATAAGCAGCTGTAAATAGATTATTGCAATTAATAAAAAAATATATATTAACATTAATTTTAATATGTTTGTTTGTTCATGTATATATGTATATATATGCATACAAATACAAGTTACGTACCATTGAGAATATTTTTTTATGTTAAATTTGCCTATTTAAGCAAAAGAAAAATTTTAATAAAAAAGCAATAAATAAATTAAATGATTTTGTAAATTTATAAATTTCAACTTAACCTTGAATTTTCAAGTTAATACTATAAATGAATTCAACAGTTTTGTAATTAACAAAAAATATATTTTGTCTTTGTTGACTATGATTTTGGTTAACATATTCAATAAAAAATGAAACGCCGCTGTTAAGTACAACAGTGAATTTTTGTGTTATTTTATCATTTTGTGCCTTTGTAAATTGATTTGTTGTTATATTGAAAAAACATTGAAAGCTAACTAATTAAGGAAATCAACAACAGCAAAAACAACAGCACCAACAACATCAAACACAATAACAAAAACTTTCGTAATAACAGAACCAAATTTATGGTTTATGTTATGTAGCCAATTGGCAATGTTATGTGCGAACGCACATACGCAGCTTTTTGTTTTTGTAGTGTTCGTGTGGGGCATGTCGAAATAACTTTAGTACACAGTTACTGAACACTAACTTCCATGTAGTTATCTCACTTTGGCCTTTTGAAATATTTTAGTTTTTTCTTTTTATGTGTTTTTATGTTATTTTTGTTTTTTTTTTGTTTTTTATTGTTTTTTTTTTCTTTTTTCTGATGATAGTGGCAATTCTGAGTTTACAACCGCGTTATGTTCACATTAAATGTCACTCATACGCTCCGCTGTGTTTTACTCTTCTCTGTATGTTGTCGGGTCAAATTTATTTTTATTAATTATTAATTAATTTTATATGCGTAACTAGTTTCCAATGCATTTTTATAACCACTATTTTTTAATTTTTTCGTATCTTCATTTTGTGTTGCTGCTGTCGAAATAATTAAAATTCAAAATATTTCATAACAAAATTTGTTTTAAATAAAATTACTCAATTTTGCAAAAAAATAAATGTTGCACCATTAACTAAGTTGGTTATCGTTTAACGTTAATCTTCAACTATTATGTTTTTTTTTGTTGTTATTTTATTCGAACTTTACATAAGTTTTAGTTAATTTATTTATTTTTTTTTTTTTTTTTTTGTTGTTAAGATTTCGTTGCATTATAGTTTTGATTAATAATTATTCACGAATTTAATTTAAATAATTTTTGATTTGATTTAAGAGCTCAGGGCAAGCAAGTTTAGGTGTAAAGTGAAAAAGAAAAATTTTATCATATGAAGGTTTAACAGTCTCTGTTAAACTCTTTGTGTTTGTTGTAATTTAGTTATAAATTAACTAAATATATGCATTTTTTTATTTTACTAATCATATAGTATTTTGCGATCTTGTTAATTTGTGAATGAGTCTATTAGATTCAACAGTTATAATTACAAAAAAATTGTTGCTACTGTAAAATATGGAAAATTTCATAGTTAAATTTTAACTTTCAATTGAAAGGAATAAAATTTCAAACTTAAATTGTTTTATATAATATATAATATAATATAATATATATAAGTCAAACTTCCATAACTCGAAGTACTATTTTGCAAAGAAAAGGTTTGACTTAAGGAGACTTGCAGTTAAAGATTTTTTTGTAATTGTATGTAATTAGCTCTCTAAACCGTCTTGCACCTTGACTGTATTACAAAAATGCTTAGTCAAATCAAACGAGGATGTATTTTAGTTAAAAATAAAAGTATAAAGAAGTTATTATTAGTTATTAAAAATCTAAAATATTTTTTTTCAGACTTGTTAAAAAGAAGAGAGTTTTAATATATACTATATTAACTAATTTTGTTGTTGATATATAGTTTTTAGTAATAAGTTATTTGAAACTACAAATATAAATATTAAATTTATTTTTCATTAAATCCTCAAATGCTTTTACTGCAATATAATTATGATATGTAAACCAATTTTACAAGTCATCAGTAGTTCTCTATCCTATTGTTTTTCTTTTTTTTTTTTTTGTTTTTTGACAATGCTAATGACATATTTCGACCACTGTGCGTGTTGTTAATTATAGATTTATTGTATTGAATACATTTGTGTTTTTTGTTGGGAATTTAAAGTTTCAGTTTTTTTTTTCATAAAATATTTGGCATGATGATTATTGTCTAAACTATTATATGCATAATATCATAACTGAGCTCATCATTGCCATAATGAAAAACTTCATTATAATAATGATGAAGCACAAAAGCAGCAGCAGCAGCAAGCATCAAGCATCATCAATAGCCATTGATCAGTGGACTTTTCGTGTTTAAGTTTTTTTTTTTAAATAAATTTTGTGTATTTCTGGTATTTTTGGTGTCGTTATTGTTGTTGTTGTTTTACTATTTTTAGTTTGTTTTTTTGTTTTTGTTTTTGTTTTGCTGGTAGTTTCAGCTAATATCGTTTTAAAGCATTTCAGTATATATTTTTGACTACGGTGACAGGTAGTTGTAAGGTGTTTGCGGATGATATCAGTATTAAAGCGGGTTTTTTTTCGAAAATTGTGGAAAAAACAGCACTTTTAATGTTGTGAAGTAGTTTAATATTTTCATGAATTTATTTTTTAAACTACAAATTCTGGTTCTAATAATAACTATAAACTTTAGCTATGATGGTAATATTATTATAAATGCCATCAGAAATATGGCGATAAATTGTTTCATAGATGATCGAGATATGTGTTTGATTTTCTGGAGAGATAATAATAAAAGAATAAAGTAATCTGTACTATGATATTTTTTCATTAATTTCTACAGAAAATAAAAAATTTAATTTTTTTGTGATTGTATGACAATTATTGCTATTATAAACTAACAATAATTATTGCCACAATCTGTTTTAATTATTATAAAAAACAAAATGACATGTGTGGCATTCATGCTACACATACTTCTCTAATTGTTATAATTATTAACTATATAAAAGTGTCAGAATTTAAATTTAAACTTTAAAATGAATAATTTTTATGAATAAAAATCCAGCACAATATTCAATCATTTAAAAAATTTTAATGGAAAAATTCCAACAATATAGTTTGAATTGTTGTTACTTTTTTCACTAAAAATGATTTCAAATTAATTTTAAGTATATATTTTATAATTATTAATTTATATTGTTATATTGCTGTTGTAGCTTATTCGTTTATATAAAGGTTTTTAATATAATTAACATTAATATGAGTATCAAAATTAAAAAATAAAACCTTTTTCTTTCGTAATAAAAAATTTTGCAGCAGAAACATTCCCACAAAAGTACTAAAAACATAAGAAAGCAATAAATGTGATATTTAGTTAATTAAATAATCAAGAAAATAATGTTGTGATAACTCGAAAATCGCAGAAAAGAAACACACTCAAATCCATATAGACTTAAAAAAACTAAACTTCGCTATCATAAATAATTTAAAAGACTAAATGCTAAAAAAAAATATTAAACAATTGTAACTAGAAAAAAAAATAAAACAGTTATAAAAACAAAAAAAAAAAAAGAATATAATAACGTAATAAGTATGTGAAAAAGAAACACATTGTTTAAATGTGCAAATGCTTCCAAGAAACAAAAATCCAAAATTCCAAAACAAATGATTTCGTTCATTCATCAGTAGTGCTGCACTTCAACGTTTATAAGGAACAACAATTTCCATATAGCATAGCAACACTTACATCAGCATCAACATCAACATTAGCATCAGCATCAATATTAGCATTTGCAACATTAGCAGCATTTACCATTAACAGCAAATTCATGTGCCACAAACGTTGCAGCAACTATTGCAAGTCACAGAAAATACTGCAAAGTAAACAACAACAATAAAACGTGTATATTAATGTTAACAGCATTATCTGCTTAACATAATTATATATATGTGTAATAAAGTGCAATAAAGTACTACCAACAGCGCGCAGGATAAATACTGTTAAAAAGCAACAATATCTCTGGCAACACTGACGATTCTGGCAACATTGAAGCTAAGCACACACAAAAAGAGTCTAAAGCACGATTACTTACTGCAACCGTTGATAGATTTGAAACTGGCTTTAATGGTAAATTAATTGATATTAAATATTATTTAATTGGATGTTGTGCATTTTTGAATAATTTTTTTTTGTACTTATATTTTCAACTAATATATTTAATCATATATAACGATCATTAAAAAAATCGACCTCAACAATTACATTCATGCTCCAGTAACATATTTAATTGTAAATAGCAGCTGAAGAATTATATAATAATATTTCAGTACTACTACTCATATTCATTACTGCAACTTTTATCATCTAATTTAACAAGCAACAGTTTTGTACAATATAAATAAAAAGAGCAGAACTTAAAAAAAATAATCATCATTTACCATAAACATCTGCGTTCATTAAATAAAATCAAAAATATTTCGAGCACTTTTTACATTTCAAATTCAAATAAAATCGACTGCAACTACTACGCCTACAACCATTACTTTAACTATTAAAACTACTACCATTACTACTACTACTACTACTTTTTATAGTACCATTATCATTTCTACTACTATTTAAACAAGAAACTGCTACTCTTACCACTAACAACTTTAATTACTCTTATTATTACTACTACTACTACTACTACTACTACTACTTAATACTTAACAAAAATTGCTGCTCCTGTTCATCTTGTTGTTGTTGTTGTCGCCTATATAACCACCACCACAACCACCACTCAACCACTACCACCACCAAACCACCACCACAACCACTATCAACATACTGCGTAAAAAATTTCAATAATTATTACGTGAACATTTTATTTTAATAAAAAACCATAATAAAAGTAATAAATGAAAAGATACTCGTATGTATAATATACAATATCACATAAGCAATAAAAATGTTTCATCAACATTGTTTATAACAACCAAAAGCTTCAAAACATAATTACATCAAAAACAAAAAAAAAGCCGTTGTTTCAGCAACATTAATTTTAACTGTTTCTATTTTTTTCTCTTCCCTTTGGCCTATATTGAAAAATTACTTTACTAAATAAAAACAACCCTGCAAACCTGCAACTCTGCAACCTTGCAACTTTAAATGCGGCAACTATTTCCTACAACAACAACAACAATAATAAATGATTAAATCAGCTTTGTCGCCTATTGCAGCATTATAAATCTACTGCAATCAAATACAATTGCAACACTGAAAACTTATGAAGCAGAGCACAAAAACCGTCACAAAAGAGCATATTTTTTTATAAAAAAAAAATACATTAAAAGAAATTCCGGCCACATTCAATCCCATATATATGAAATACGCCCAAATATAGAAATAAGCCAGAAGACTGATCGCCAACATTTCTCTTGAAAACGCCCGACTCAAAAAACAAGATACAATAACAAAGATTAAGAATCAAGTTTATAACTTTAACATAAGTAACATGTCTCAACCGAATTCTGCAACATTTCAGCAACAATTGCAATTGCAACCAAATACTGCTGTCTCAGCGGAAAGTCTTTTAAATAATGCATTCGATTTAATTGGTGGCGCTACAGCAGCCCAGCAATTTCTTAACCATCACATGGACTTGTATGCACAGCAACAACGGCAACAACAACAACAACATCAACAACTGCAGCAGCAGCAGCAGCAATTAAATAATTTTCATCATTCTCCGCAACAAAGTTTACATTCATCTTCGACATCTTCGTCTCCAAGTACAATACAAACAAGTTTTAACCAACACTTGAACCACAACCACAACCACAACCACCAACACCATCACAACCAACATTTAAATAAAAAACATTCCATATCGTTGACATCATCGCCTATACCATCTTCACCGATATCGACAACAATGTCATCAATAAATGCAACAACATTTAATAATGTTATTGCGAAATCTCAAACAAAATCACATTTTAATTTGCATAATCATCACCAGATGGATGCGCAACAGCAACAATCGCCACAGCAACAGCAACAGCAACAGAATACAAATGTAGCTGCACAAACAACACTTTCCAATAATAACAACAGCAATAATAGTAGTAATAGTTCCTCTGCTGCATCACCAACAGTAACAACAGCTGCAGCAACTTCAACGGCATCATCTACAACACAACAACAGCAACAACAGGTGCAACATTCACAACAGCATCATCATCAGCATCAACATCAGCATCAGCATCAGCATCAACATGGCAGCAATGTGTCGCCATATAAGTCCTGTTGGTGTTATGGTGAGTTTTCAATGTCAAATTTGTCATATAATGCATAATCTTGTTGCAGCAACATTGCCACTGCAACATTACTCATACGTTCAAAACAAATTCAATCAGTTTAAAGTTGATCGTCAAATATACTTTTATATTTAATACAAATTCATTTCTTAGTAAATTTGAAATAAAAAATTGCTTTTTGTGGGAAAGTTTCTATATATATATATTTTCTTTTTCAATTTACATATATTTTTTGTGCATATATCTGTCGCAACTTTTAATGCTTCTATTGTGCAACTTTTACATAGCAACAAACACACCCACAATATTTTATAAATGCGTAGTATATTAATATGAATTTTCTAAGTTTTTTTTTTCATATTTTTATTTTTTATTTTTATCTTTATCGTAAACATAGTACTATATTTTGGTTATTTCTTTTAAACATGATTTTATAACATCTCTGTTTTTGTTATTGCTAATAAAATTGGTGTTTATATGTTTATAATAATATATAAACATTTTGTTGCATATACATGTTGCATAATTAATAGATTAAAATGTTGTTTCATGAGAAAAATATTTAAATCAAAATGAATTTAAATAAATTTATTTAAAAAATTAAATTTATATAATGAAAATAATTCATACTCATTAAATGTACACTATATACTATGTATTAAATGTGTACAAATGTATACATTTTTGATTGTATTTCTGGCTTCTTATTGAAGTGCAAATTCATTCATAATTATTTTATTTTCTAATGAAGTATAGGAAATATGATTTAACTAAATTAGATAATTTCCATAGTCAGCTTTTATATGAAATTATATTTAGTTCTATGCAATTGTAAGCATTTGTGTATATACATATGGTATATACGTTTTAATATATTGTTTTGACTTCTGTATCATACGCCCTGTGGCCTGTAATAAAACTACGTATCAATGCAATATTAATGGATTAAAATGGAAGCTATACAAAATAGTACTCGTATTATAGGAAAACAAAATACAGTGACAAGTCAGTAACTAAATGGCAACAGTTATGTAAGCTATATGATAAAAAGGACTGACATACATAAATTGTTAAAAATAACAACATGAATCATGTGTAGCACAAATTTAATAAACTAATAACTAATATGATTAAATTGTATTTAAAATATCACATATGTTCGTAACTAATATTTTAGTCTATATAAAGAAAGGTATATCGAATATGGCAGTAATAAGACATTTTCATATACTTCATTTTAGTTTACCATTGTTTGTTAATATAACTGCTTAAAAGATTTACCAGGTATACTCAGAAAATAATATTTTCATATCTTTTCCATACGAATTAAAAATTATTTTAATTGTTTAACCTCATTCAAATTAAGTTCTAATATTAACAGAAATAATTTATTGCTTTTATTAGAGTGTTCAATATAACATTCGAATTTACTTAAACAGAGCAAATAAAAAAGAGACACATTTCTGTATATTTCTTTTTATATATATTTTTACAACCTTACAATGTATTAAAGGTAAATCTTTTCTTTTAATATAGTACTCTGTTCAAATCAGTGAGAGAAAGAACAGATAGTCAGGGTCTTATATATGTTTCTTTTATTTAATATTATTAAAGTCTAGTGAATTATTTGATTTTAATATTATTTTCTTACTAAAAATAATTTATTTTTCTTCAAATATAATGATCTGATCAAATCAAAGAGAGAGAGTGTTAGAGAAAGAGAGAGAGAGATAAATTTTTATATTATCTTTTCAATCTGTATTTTTTATCTTTTTTAAATGATAGGATTTTATTTAACTCTGGTTTTATGGTGTTTCAACTAAGTATTGAAATATCCTGGTGCTCTTTTGAGAATTTTAGAAAACATTGAACAAATTGTAATATTGCATTTTAAATTAGTCACAGTTTAATCATACTTCTGTTGAAGTTTTCATATTAATTAATTGTATTTTTAATTATTATTTTCGTGTCGGAACAAATGCCTTCCATAAACACAACAAGCTAATAAAATGCACAGCTATATCCTTTTAGTTGGCCCAGTTTCTGCTGCGTACTTCCTCTTCAATGTGTTTGTTTCCTTATGTTTTGTCGTGTTTTTATTATTTGTTTTCAACTATAGTTGCTCCTACATATGCACAAATACATTTATTAATGCAAAAATCCTTGCATTTACGGGTTGTACACATACACTTTTTACTGCCTACTGCTGGGCCAGGGTATGAGAATGTATGAAAATAAAAATACCAGTACAAAATACAACAAAAATCGTATCTCTGTTTATTTTATTATGGTCACATTTGCATTTTATATCATCAGAGATATTTTTTGAGTGTTTGTAATGGTATTTCTGCATGTTACTTACCACATCTATATATGTGAGTGTGCACATATTCTTATCTCGGTTGATATATATTGTATATTATATGTCTACACATACACATACACATACTACACATACTCTACCCGTGCATAAATATTTTTGCATATTTTGCTATTATTTATTTTGTCATAGTGAACTGTAAAAGTTATATTGAAAGCGCATCTTCGTGGTTTTAATAAAATTGTGTCATAAATTATGTTTTACTGCAGAATGGGTGGGCGGGTAGCACTGATTGCATTATTTTCCTTGTAGTGATTAAATACTTAAAGTGCCTGAAAGTATACAGTATTTGTTTATTGCGCCTGTGTGTCAACCACATAAATAAGGTTAGGTAAATTAAAATTGATGAAATTTGGTAAATAAATTATTTTCATCTATAATTAAAAGCAAATTTATTTCACCTATTAGTTGTAATTTAGCAATTTATTAATTAAAAAGTATTTATAATTTATAAAAATATTTAACTATTAAAAAATAGGTTTATTTCTTCAAATAAGTTAATACTTTAATATTTAAATAAATATTTACAACATAAATTTCATTCCATAGCTATTAAATATTTAATATAATGAAATAATCCATTTCAAACCTTATTTCTAATGAGTTGTTTTTAAGTATAAAACATTTTAATTATATTTATAGAACTGTTAAATAATATTAACAATATGTAAAGGGTTTCATATGAACTGTTGTTTCTCCTTTCTCATCTCATCATCATATTGTTAGCTAACAGATGCTCCTCGTGTACGTTTATTTTATATAATGATGATATGTTATTATATTTTCAGTTGCAATTATTAACTTTCTTAATTAGAAATACGATAAATTTAGATTTTCAAGGTTAATGGATTTTTAGATTAGCATTGTATTGCTAAATACAAAATATTCTGCGGTAGTTCGGAGTAATTTGATTCATCACTTTTTATTTATTTATGTATTTTTCACTTTGCTAGTTGAAAGTGCAATAATCTTATTCAGTACTTCTACTTATTTCATTAATAATTTATTTAAATTTATTTATTTTTTAATTATTTATTTGAAATTATAAATAAATATACTTGGTTGTACGAAAGGAATAGAATAAAGGTCAAATATTGGAGTGCAATTTATAAAATATGGACCTGGAAAAAAGTTTGCTAGTCACCTGAATGGTGTTATAAAGATTAGAGATAGGAATATGCTTTGCTTTTTTTTCACACACAAAGATAGAGGTTCTTTCCGTCTTGTAGGAATTAATTCCGGATATTACGGGGAAAATGTGGCCGAAAAAAGCTATCTTAACTTTACAGTTAATTGGATTATGGTATTCTTAAGTTCAATATGACAGAAGATGTTACGTTATTTACTAAATAATATATTTGTTTAATTTTTTGCTAAACTGTTTATACCACTTATATAATATGTCGATTCAATTAAGCTAGTAAGGTACTAATTCTACAGGATTTTCTATTTTCTACACGTATTTCCCCACGCGGGTGTGAACACGGTTAAAATTTGTTCATAATAATTGCTGAACCAATAATTATAGTGCTATAATACAGCAATATTCTCCTGTTTTGTTTATGTTTCGTGTAAATATGTCGTTCTCAAGCTCACTGTAAAATGTCAGAAAAATAGACGTATGTTTCTTATCGAAAATGTTATGGAAATTTAGTATTAAGGATTATTAATCCTCCAACATTGTACTGATGTGTCTATTAGTTAGATTTTGTAATGGAATTTTAATAGTTTTATATTATGTTATGAACAAATTTCTTAAAAATATTTAATCAATTTATTTTTAAATTTTTCAAAACTAATTGAAAATCAATATTTTAAGATTTTCTAGATTATTTATTCCAATAAGTTGAATATGTAAATATGTAATTTAAACGTACATTGCGTGCCAATGTCAACATTAACATATGTTTGGCACAGAACTTTTAGTCACTCTGAAGGAAAAACTACAGATACAAATGTACCACGAAAATGTGTGAAAATGTACATATGCAAATTATTCTATATACATCTATATATATATATATATATATATATGTCTATCAGCACATATGATTATGTGTGTTGTTATAAAGAAAATGGAAAATGTGTCAGCGGTTATTTATATTATTAGTCTAATATCTTAAAGATTTATTACACAGCAAATAGTTAATGGAGCACATAAAAATTTGTAGTGCTTATGTATGTACACAAATGCAAATTTATCTATATTTGTATGAATGGATTATGCTTATAAAAAAGTATCTATCAACAATATGAAGTAAAATCTGTTTAAACAGAAAATATTAGTCTCCACACATTGCATGAGTACGTATCTGTGCCACTTTGTCTACAATATGGAAGGCACGAAAGGGTTGCTGAGGGAATAGTAACAAGTGTTTTTTTTCTTTACTCTTGCTCTTTATCTATTACTGAGTTGTTCCACTTGCTTAAATATAGAACAAATATACAATATTTCACTGTGCAAACCAAACGTTCTATATTTGATTGTACATAGTATACGCGTGTATGTATTTCCCTTTAGCGTTGTGTGAACATCTGTATTTTAATATTCTAATTAAATAAGCTTTTACTTTTTTGTTTTCACTGTATATGTACTCAACGCCATTAAGTCATGTGGAAGTTAATTGAAATACTGAACATTCTCAGTGCTCTCTCCGAAACTTCTGATATAATAAACTGAAATAATTTTTGTTTTTTGTTAGAACGCGACAACATTGCATTTTGGCTTTTTAAATTGACGAAACTGTTTCTCTTATCTCAAACATATTTTAGTTATCTTGTTTGTATTTTAAATAACGACTGTTTCTTTAATATATTATATATGTACAGGGTTATCCATTTCGTAGTTCCATAAGTAACGTAAATAAAACATAATTGTGATTGAGATTTTAATCAAATTTTCTTTTTAATTTATTGTTTAACATTAGGTGTAAACTAAAACATCAAATCAAATGTAGTTCACAGCACATCTTACAGTACTTGGTTCTTTTGATGTGATTTTCGAATATTTGTTGGCATATAGCTAGTAATTGCATATGATCGATCCAGACAAAGTTCAGTATTTGACAGAACGCATGATTTTGGTGGGTAACTCACCTACCAAAATATAATATTACATGTGCGACCATGCCAATAAATATAAAACAGTATGTGTTGTGTGGGTTTGTAGCAACTTTCTGAGTAAACTAAATATCTTCTACAGATTCAAACATTTTAATTTTTAATTTCACGTCAAAAAAACTTGATAATTGTCTAGAGTCAGTGATTAGAATTGATGGTTTAAGTCACAAATTGTAATTTTCAAATATGTAGGGGTCTTCACACTTCTAGATCAAATGCCATACCATATTTTCACCTGTGGATTTTAATTGCCACTGATGCAATATTGTTACGATACAAAAAACAGTTATTTAAACACATAAATATGTCTATTTTATGATATATTAAAATCAATTATTACGATTACGAAAATAATAATAATGAGAGATAGAAGACTTAGTATTGAATTTAATTTAACAAATATATGTAGTTAGTTTTTTTATTTTTTATATTTACTTGCAGTGTATTATTCTATTATAGTATATTTTTTAATTAATTATTCAAAATTAGAACTAATTTAATTTAATATAGTTATAAGAAACTATTCAATTCAAATAGCTATCATTACTTTTTATCATTGTATCTCTAATTTTCAATGTACTTATTTTTTTCTCTCTTGGTTGATTTATGTTATTTACATATTGCTGTCAACACAATATGTATGCCTCACTATAATCAGGTGTATCTGTATTTCATATGAGGTTGATTGCAGTTATCGATTCTTTACACGCTATTTCTACTTGTACGTTACCCCCCGGCAGTTGAGTTGACTTGTTTGTTGGTACGCTTGACACAAATATTAATTGGAAGTGTCATCAGCGTTTCATGCACGACGACTAACTGACATATATGTATATATTCACCAAAAGAGATTGGGATCAATCTATATATTTATTTAGGTATATAGATGAAAATAACATAGCATATATCATGTACAATAGATATTTGTTTAGTGTACATTTTCAATTTAATATTTTAACAACTGGTCTTCAGTAAAACAATATAATTTCAACTTATCAACAAATAATAGTCAACCGATCAATAACTAAGCACAAATTTTTTTTATAGAATTTAATCAAAAATTTTATAGAAAATTGAGCAATTTTATATTAATGCGAACACTTAACCAAATTATTAAATGTCATTGTTATTATTAGAATTATATCAAATATAGGAATTAACTTTTCGGCTTGTGAATTCTTGACTCGGAAGTAATGCTGTTTCCATTATTCGAACTATTTAATATTCGAATGACTTAATAGTTTTAGATTCAAATAAGTTATAATTCTCATATGGTTTGTAGATATGGAAACGTTAAAAGTTTTTTACTTGGTTATAATATATTTTTCATTTTAATATTATGAAGTCGTATCATGCAAACTGTCACTGAGTTCTTCCTGTGCCGAAGTTTTTAGTAAAATATGAAAATACTTAATGATATGCAAGCATCTATATCCAATTTGGTCACGGTCCAATAAAAGGAAATCCATCCGCAGATGTGGAGAGGTCGATGAAAGTACCTCCCATCTGCATTGTTTCTGTCCAGTACACGCGGCGCCGCTTTACCACTTTAGGAGTTTTCTTCTTTGTGGGTCATTGTGAACTGCAAGACCTTTCCTTAAATAGTATTATAAGCTTTGCCAACGGTTTTATGTGCCTATAGTCCGAAGTGGATCCTTTCGGAATGCCGGTATAAACTAAGCTAGACACCAAGTGTAGTCAATTTTTTTTTTCTTTATTAAAAAATTCACTTTTAATTAATATTGTTACGTAATCGCCTGCTGTGCATATACGTTTGAATCGCTGGATTTTGTAAAATAAAATAAACTTCTTAAGTTCAATATTTAAATGCTTATATTCGACAGTAGTATTTAAATATTTGCATGCGATTCCTGTTACTAAAATTTAACATTTCCAAATTGGTGAACACAGTTCTAAATATACTTATGTATCTACAAACCGCATGAGAATTATAATTTGTTCAACTTTACAACTTTATCTAGCAAAATACAAAACAAAAAATTTTAAATATTCAGATGGTTCGAATTATTTCGTCATGTTTAGATTATTAGAAAAAGGGAACTATCCGATAAAGACCAGTAAAACTTGGAACACAAATATAAAAATAATATAGGTATATAATTAATCCAAATTAATGCAAATGCAATTTTGTTTTTTCTGTGAATCCATGCGCTACAATCTTTTCTACATCAATTTGTACATTTGTTATTTTAAATTTATCATTAAATATATTAATTAAATAGCAGTTTGTTTTTAATATTATTAACTTTTTCTATTCCCTTCGTTCTTTGTTTGTATCTTTTTAGGTGAGTCAGTTTGTTCTGGAATTGAGGTTGAAATTGAAAATAATAACAATCATTTTCTTCATGGTAAGCTAAATCATTGTTTCATAACAAATTTCATTAAACAACTCATCTTTGAAACTTTTTTCTTTCAGTGTATTTTAATAAAAACTTAAACTTTATTTGTAAATAATCGAATTTTTATTTTTAGCACAAGGAAGCAGTTGCTGCTACTTGTCGTTGTAAATACTAATAAATAATTTTTTCCTTTTTTTTTATTTAAAGCTTTAATTTTATTTGTATTATTTATTTGTTATTACAAATATTACATTAATTATATTAATGATATACTATTCAAGATGCTTTTTACATTAACAAATTAATAATTTTTACTTATATAGTCTTTATCAATTAAATATATTTGAGGACTCTAGCGAAAGTCTGCTCGACCGATTGTTGTAATTTTATCCTTTTAACATTAAAAGTGTTCGTAATTATAGAGCTTCGTATGAGGAATAGTTGCATCAAAGAGTTTTTTAAGCTTATTGAAGATGTGAATTTGTCCTTTTTGTACTTCAACAGTAAAGTTGAGCTTAGTAATTACAATTATATTGAATTCTCTTTCTTGGCACAAATATCCATGGACGATATTAGTGTGCAGTATAGCCCCTTCATACTCCGATACATTTCTGCTCTTCTTTTCTAGTTGAATGTGCTAATTTAATTAATATTTTTATTATAGTTCTTTCAGCCATTAATGGTTAATACGTTCGTTTCCGAATCTGAGTCTACGAATTTTGTACGCGGTAGATAAGAGCAGATAAAATCGAATAAGAAAAATCAATTAGAAGGAGTGAAAATTTTCCACTTCCTTCTAGAAGTATGAATGGATTCAAGTATAAGCCGGCCATTTAGTTGCCAAGTAATGGCGTATTGAATATCTCACTAATTGACAATTCTAAAATTCTATAAAAATAATAATATAAAAATTAAATCATGTCTTTACTGATTAAATTATTTAGCACAATAGTTCTTATAAAGATCGAGGTGCTCTAGTTTAAACTAGCAATCAGATATTCCTGTTGTTCACATTACCAAACAACAAATACGATGAGTAAATAGAAACTGACATTAAAACTAACTTAATCGATAAAAATCACTTATTTTTTACATCTAATCGATAGATCGGTGATATAAAGTGGAACCTATTACGTGTATATTGAAGGTATCGTTTTTCACTATTTATCGTACATAGTAATCGATGGAATCGATGGAAGTAATTGTTCCTTTGCCCGGAGCCAGCTTTATAACAATGGGACCCAAAAATTTTAATGTATTGATATGGTTTTCTAAGACATATATAAGCTAAACATACTAATGGAATGAATACACAGTTGTTTGAACTATTTAGACTATAAATATTTCTTTATAATAGATAAGTTAAACAATATATACTACTTAACTACCCTAATATTAATTAATTGAATTCATTATACGCATCACATCAAGCGCATTCTCATTATATTGCATGTAGTATACGAATTGAGTCATTTGAACCATTTTAATTAAGTTGACATCTGAAGATGTATTTAGAATCATTAAACCATCTACGTTCACATTCACATTCATTCACTGAGAAGAGTAAATAATTAGAGAATCAGAACTACTTAAACAACCAATGGAAGTAAAAATTTGTTATTATTTTTAATTTTGAACCCACTTCAACTTGAACCTATACAACTTTAACCGATTTACGAAAAAGCAAACTAATTTTAATGCCAAATTGTTTATTCGTTGCTTAAAGAATCACTAGGACAATCGTCATATTTAATTAATGGTTTGTTTGTGCTATATTACACTTACAGGTGACACAACTTATCACATGAAGATATTGGTGCCTGCTGTGGCCTCTGGTGCCATTATAGGCAAAGGTGGTGAAACAATTGCCTCTTTGCAAAAAGATTCTGGTGCTAGAGTAAAGATGTCCAAATCGCATGATTTTTATCCAGGTAAGTTTTATTCGTTCATCGTTCTTATAATTTTCTTATAATATGTAATATCTGATTAACTGATTATCGTTTGTGTTGAAAACCATTTAGGCACTACTGAACGTGTGTGTTTGATTACTGGTTCTGTGGATGGCATCATGTCGGTGCTAGATTTTATTATGGATAAAATACGTGAAAAGCCTGATTTAACTACAAAAATTATTGATGCTGAATCGAAACAAACTCAAGAGCGTGATAAGCAAGTCAAAATCTTGGTGCCCAATTCCACAGCCGGCATGATAATTGGCAAAGGTGGTGCTTTCATTAAACAAATCAAGGAGGAGAGTGGCTCTTATGTACAGATCTCGCAAAAGCCGAAAGATATTTCATTACAGGAACGTTGCATCACCATAATTGGCGACAAAGAGAATAACAAAAATGCCTGTAAAATGATTTTATCGAAGATTGTAGAAGATCCACAATCAGGTACGTGTCTAAATGTGTCATATGCTGATGTCAACGGTCCAGTTGCTAATTTTAATCCGACTGGGTCACCCTACGCGACTAATCAAAATGCCATCAACTCGAGTACCGCTTCACTTAATTCAACACTTGGTAATGCTATTGGTGGTGCTGCAACCGCTGCAGGTTTACTAGTCAACGGAACAGGTATAAATTTGTCATTAAACTTAGGTTCACCAAATCCAGCTCCAAATTTGGCTGTAGCTACACAATTATTGGAACATATTAAGGTTTGTACAGGAGATAAACAATTAATGGTGATAAAAAATATTCTGACTTTAAAATGTTATTTTATTGTAGGTTGCAATGCGTGGAACAGGTTATTCGGAAGCCGCCACAACAGAAGTTTGTGCTGCACTTGGTGTGCTAGCCAAATATGGTGTGCTTGGCATGGGTGTCGGCGTACCGCACGCCAACGGCGCACACACTACTCTCGGCAGCTATTTGGGCGTTTCGGCGCTCGACCAGCAAACCGCCGCTGCTGCGTCAGCCGCAACAGCTGGTAACGTGTTTGGCGCCGTCGGTCAAGTAAATTTGGAGCAGTACACCGCCGCTGCCGCAGCTGCTGCTGCTGCTGTTGCCAACCGTCCAACACAATCACAGTTGGAGGCAGCCGCCGCAGCCGCGCAGTTCGATCCATTCCGTCATTTAGGATCAGCTGCACAAGCAACCACACCTGTTTCATTAAATAACAATAGCTTTGGATTAACCGCCGCCACTGGCACTGGCAACACAGCGCAAGCTTTAAATGCCGCCTCACTAAGTGGCATGAGTAAGAGTCCCACACCGGGTGATTTAGGTGCCAAGGATACAAAGAATGTTGAAATCCCAGAAGTAATTGTTGGGGCTATATTAGGTGGGCCACGTTATTATGCTTATCCTTACTAAAAAGCAAACACACACAAATAAAAAAGCATAAAAACATTAATTATTAATTATTTACAAAAACTTTTTAAATCCTACATATAACATAATTGTTGTTTGTTTAAATTTCATTTGTTTATATTATTGTTGTAACATTTATTATTATTGTTAATCTAAAATTTCCACACCTTAGATTAGAGTTTACTCCAACTTACTAAAAATTAGTAACCAAAAAAAAAGACAAAACAAAAAAATCATTTAAAACATACAGACTTAATTTTAAATACAAGACATTCCGCATAACTCTTGAAAGCTGAATTCACTAATAAGCGGACCCACCTGCTTTCAAGTAAAATTCCAAACCCGGGTAGGCGTAAAGATGTCACCACCCGTTCCGCAAGACCCTTAGCAAAACATGTAAAACAAAGCAAAATGCCTAAATACAAAATAAAAATTTACCCGCATTCCATTTAAATTCCTCATTATTAGCCCATGTGCTACATTTGTGCGCATTTTTTAAACAAACAATATAACCCAAGGCATATATGAGATATATATCTTGGCGCTCACATTTATATACATAAATTAATTGTTTTTCTTTATAAATCTAGTCAAGTTCTTGCCGCACATTCGTCAGTCTTTCTCGTCATTTTTATTGCAAATTTAAATGTTAAATCTCAAAAGGCATTTTCCACTCGATAAGCACATGCACACATCTATTTAGAACACCACATCCCAACACCAAACCTCACGCACCCGAAGAATGAACTTAATTGATAAGGAAGTTATATAGAAATTAAAGCTGTGATTCCACATTTTGTTCTCTACCAATTTTATGCGCATAATTCAATTAAATTGATTTCAAAAACGAAAAGATCAACATTCCAGTTAACATTTAGAAATAAATAAATAAATAAATAATTATACTAAAAGGCTGGTCCTTGCTCAAGCACCTCCTATAGAGGTTATTTCTTCATAAGATTATTTGGTGCACATTTATTGACTTATTTTCACAGTCTCAAATCAAGCCCTAAAATATCTAAACCAATATCTGCCAAAAGAAAAAGTGAGCATTGAACGTAGATTTATGTATACGTTTCAACACATTCACCGAAAAACGGATGTAGTGCCTAATTGACCTACTACTAATATAATTTACCTTTTTTTATTCAATATAACTAAATTGTATAAGATTTTACTTATGTGTATGGTAGGCAGTTTAAAAAGCAAGTAGAGTGGTCTCAATAGGTATCAAATTCCGTAGAAGCCTGTTAGTGCTATCAAAAATTTGTTTTACATACATATATCTTTATATATATAGATTTATATATATATATATACAACATATGAATTTTTTTTGTAATATTTTGATAACTTACGTAGTAGCTTTTACTAAAATGTTACAATTTTTTTCATTAGCTTATAATTATTATATATAGTTTTGTTTAAAATTATTGTATATATGCATATATTTGGTTAATATATATATATATTTATACATGTGCTATATATTTATGATTCTGTAAGTAACGGATTTAGGTAATTCGTGTTTACATACATAAAATGTTAAAGTAACTTGATCGTATATGTGAATATAGGTACATTAATATACATAAATATGTAGGTTTCTAGATATAGTAAAAAAATTTATATAATTTATATTTAGCGTTTTAATGGGATTATTATTTTTGTTTTTTTTTATATATATAAGTATCTGTGTATGTATTAATATATCAGTTTATGTGCTTAAAGATATGTTAAATTAAGTTTATTGACAAGATGAAAATGAAGTCTATGCAATATACTTGAATAGATATTAGATATTAGTTTCTTTAATATATATGCAGTAGCACAGGAACAATGTTATCGTTGTTGTTGTATTAATTCAAGTGTTGGCGGGAATGAGTGATATTTGAAGGTGTCTTAACTGGTGGCTTCAAATAGAGGTCCGCCTGCTGATATTAGAAAAATTTTAAATTGTGTCTAAAATGATAAATTAATAACATTTTAGTTGTTGTGAAACTTCTTGCGATCAATAACACTACTATATGATTGGTAATTGGTCGCTCTGGAGAACATTAAATGTTTTGTTATAGTAGGCTCAATGGATTGTAGAGCAGGATTACATGATCTGTAATTAGGGTCAATAATATGTAAAAAGAAATGACAATAAATTTGAAGTACAGAGAATATTGACTTGATTTTGTTTTACAAGTCAAGGTGTACATATAAATAACCAATAATTTGGTGTATACATTTTTTATATCATTTTTAGGAAAGTTAAATCTATAAAAGATCGTACAGAATTACATTAGAAAATATTATTATTAGTATAAGAAGAGACAAGAGTATTAAAGAAAATCTCTTGTGTAAACTACTCTGGACTATATAATGCTAGTAATAATTATAACAATATTGGATATCTTAGTTTAAAAGATCAGATTTCATTCAGTTCGATTCGATTCTCAACCATAACCAGCACAATTTTTCTTTAAGATAAAATATTTTTATGCAATTCTTGTCAATAAATTTAATGCATATATGCATATGTGTTAAATGTTTCCCATAATAAATACCTCAAAATAGTTTGTGTTACCTTTATATAGTATAAGTTTGATATTAATATGATTTCACATAAACCATATATAAGTACATATATAATTATATATCCATAAATTGATGCGTTAGATGCAAACACCTTTTATTTATGCAACTGATTTACTGTATTTTTTAGTTAATAACATTCCATGCAAAAGGCACTTACACCTATTTTTGAACACTAAATACTTACAATGAATTCTTGCATTAACTTTTCAACTCCTATTAATAAATTTATTAATTTATTTGTAATTTGTTTGAAGGCTTTTAATCGATTTTTGTATCATAAAAAATATTAATAATTTTTTTTCTTTAACTTTAAATGCCCTTAGAATTGCTCATTTTGTTAAGGATTTTTTTTTTTTTTGTTAATTACATATATAAAAACACACACAGAGTAATTTGTATTGTATTTTAATATTTAAATTGTTATTATGAATTTGTGCATTACCTAAATACGTTAACTGTAGCTCTTTTGTAATTCTTCTCTAAAATAATCACCTACAAATTCCAGGTCCGAATGGGCGTAGTTTAGTTGAAATACAACACGCTTCTGGCGCAAATGTGCAAATTTCAAAAAAGGGCATTTTCGCACCTGGCACTAGAAATCGTATTGTAACTATAACTGGTCAACCGAGTGCCATTGTCAAAGCGCAATTTTTAATTGAACAGAAAATCAACGAGGAGGAGACAAAAAGAGCGCGACAAATTCCATTAACCACTGTTGTGAATTAATTTTACAAGAAACTCTAAGAAAAATAAAATAAAGAAAACAAAAAAGGAGATCAAATAATAAACAACGCTAATAAAAAAAACGCATTAAAATTAAACTATAATTAGCAATCTTAAAAGAATTGAATTAAATTTTAAATCCAAATAATTAATTAATTAATTAACCAATTAATTAACTTTAGTTTCTAATTCCTACGTTATCGACCTATCAATTTAATCATCAATCCTTACAGTGACCCTGCAAGCTTAAAATGAAATTTATTCAATTTAATTAAAAACGAAAATGAAATTAAAGTTTTAACTACAAGGAAAAAAAATACAAAAAAAATAATTTATGAAGCACTTGTGTGCTTCAGTAATAATTTAAATTGATTAGATTTACAATTAAAAAAAAAGAAGATTTAACGAAAAATAATATTTTAAATAGCAACAATTTAAAAGAAAACGAAAACTTTATTAATTTATTAACATTAAAAAATTATTGTTAAAAATATACAACAAAACAAACAAAAGTTAAAAATGTAGCTAAAAATTAGTAACAATTTTAAATGTTTACCTACACATTCTAAAAGTTATACACAATTTCCAAACGTTAACAATATTTTCTATATGCATATATACCATATACCGTACATATGTATGTATGAATTAATTTTTTCCAATATAACCCCAAATTATCTTTCCAATGCTTTTAAAATTGTCAGCAAAGTCTAGGTTTTTTTTTACAATCAATGAGAATAATTATTCTACGCGCGATATAGCGATATATATATTAAGCATGAATTTTGTTATGATAAATAAATATATTTTGAAATTTGTTTTCAAATTTCATTTCAAAATACAATTGAATTCAAAGAGATTTTATTTTGACATATATAAATTTTTTAAACACATTTAAGTGTTTTCTAATTACTTATGATTCTTAAGTGATGATGTTAAAATTAATATACCATGTAAAAACAAAGAAATTATTATTAAATAATAATTTTTTTTATTTAAATAGAAAAATTTTTATTTTAATAATGAAGAAAAATAATAATGATTTTTTTTTATTTAAATAAAAAAAATTGTATTTTAATACTGAAGAAAAATAATAACTTAACTTTGCTGTCAGAAATTTGCCAAATAATTATTAATTATATATAACAATAATTTAATAGTATAAAATTAATTATCATTTTGTTGAAAATAGTTAATTGTTTTGTTTTTCTTTTAAAATATGTTGCTTTTAATTGCTTAAAATAGGAATTGCAAGTAATTTGTTAAGTTTTAACAGTTTTAACAGTTTTATTTTAAAGTTAAAACTATAAACTAAAAACTCTGGGCGTTTTCAGTGAGAGTTGTAATGATTAATCAATGCCGATCAACTAATAAAAAATACAAGGTAAATATTTTGTTTTAAAGGACTTGTGTGAATACTTTAAATGTGTTTTGTTTTATAGTTTATTAAAACAGTCAAAATCGTTATTATTCACTTATAAGAGACATGAGCATTTTACACATTGCGAATGTAAATATTAGTTAAATTTTTAATCAGTTATTCGCAATATAATTTTTTTTTATTTAATTCAACAATACAGAAAAAAAGCAGTGGCAAAGTTAAAAATATGAAAATTATGTTTCATTAACTGAAACTAACAAAAATATTGACAATTAAGAAATAAAGTGAATTTTATTTAAAACAAATAAAACGACTAAATGGAAATGAGTTGTTATTTGAAACAAATTTTCTAAATTAATTATTTGAATATACAAACAGAAACGTGTGATAAATATTAAACATATAATTAAATATATTATAGTTTTTTAAAGTTTTTTTCAATTAATTATTTACATCGTTATGCATATAATGCCTGATCACTATAAATAAACAATAAAAATGATCTAAAATAATTACTTAATACTCGTCTTTGCCACTGTTTTAATTTTACATCACAAAACATAATAGACATGAAACACTATAAACACTTAAATACAATATTTTTGTTATTCATATATATCATATATATATTGAGATTTCTTCTTTATATTATCCTTTGCATTATTTCCTAAATGATAATCTTTTACAGCGTTTTAAGAAAAAGAAAAAAGTGGTAAATGTGTTGCGCGCGCACGTGAGTCTCCTTTGGATTTTTTGTTTTTATTTCCTTATTTCCTTATTTTTTCTTTATTTGTATATATGTATATTATAAGAAATTACAATTTGTTTTTTATATAAATCATAATTTCTATTTGCTATTTGCTTCTTTCATGCTGATGTTTTACGCATTACTGTGAACAATTCTGTTTCTTAACTCAAAAGCCAGAAATTCCCTTTTTTGATTAATTTGCCCTTACATACAAATTACATTTGATTTCGTTTTATTTTGGTTTAAGAATTAAATTTAGATTCTTAGTATATAAATAAAAATAAATATATAAAAAAAAATTAAAATAAACTACATCACAGTTATGTTTATAATTTAACATAAGCAATTTACATAAATAATTTCTTATTTTTTAGTTTATTGGTAAATATTATTATATTTACATATATATTATTTTAGACTTCATTAACATACATATATGTAATTTTACATAATTGTGCAATTTGGTTTTACATACGTTTTTATACATACAAAATTTAAAAATAATTTTGTAAATATTAAAAAAATGCTATAAAAGACATAAATATAAAATTCATTTTAAAATTGTATTTAGTATACTATATATATATAATTATTATATTTTTTTTTTTGTTCATTTTCTCAATTACTTAAAAGTACACATAACGATCATCACTGTTATTATTTCGTATTTAAATGATGAAAAATAATTTCCAAATTTTTTATATATAAGTTTATTTTTATATATTTCTGCTTAATTTGTCAGTTTTTTTAACTCTATATACATATACTATATAGTTTCATATTTCAATTGATGCATAAAGTGTCATATAAAAACTTTATTGCTTTCAATAGAATTTGATTTAATTAAATGTGTTTTTTTCTTTATTGTATTACATATATACATACATACATATATAAAAATTATAAAGTGTACTTTAACTTTAATTTAAACAAAAACATGAAACATGAAATACATAAATGTTAATTATGTTAAAAAATTAAATTGATATATATAATAAAATAATTTAAATACCAGCCAAACAGTGTTTTTTATTTTTTAATTATTTTAATTTTGTTTTTTTTTATGTTATATTTTTTATCAAAATCACCCAATCAATCAATCAGTCAATCAAATCGAATCGTTTTATATAGCAAACTCATACTCAGATATTTCAGTTACTCAGTGCCGCCCATCACATTCACCACTAAAAAACGCCACAAATTCACCTTTAGTTATCATGTCTTTATATATAATGAAATATACTATATCAACTTATATACAAATTATATATTTCCTTATAATAATATCGTATGTTGTATCATATGATTCATCATTTTAACAATTAAGATCACTGAAAGCGCTCATAAATTTGAAGTATATATTTAATTTCATTATTTGAAGTGTTATACACATTTTTGGTGAAAAAAAACTTAGAAATTTTAAAATTTATTTTCTAATTATTAATAATTTATATAAACATAATTTATGATGTATAAAAAATGTCTCAATTTGTTGAACAAACATACAGTTAAAGTTAAATAAATTTTGTAAACATAAATTATGATTTTTTTAGTCTGTATATATATACTTTTTAAAACACATAAACAAAAAGTTGTTAATTAGTTCAATACATTTAAATAAAATAAATATATAAAGAAATATATATATATATATATAAATACATAATAAGATGGAAAAAATGTGGTGTCATTGTCAATGTGCAATATTTGTTTAAGTTTGAAGCTGATTACTACAACAACTACTAACATTAAAAAATCAAACAATAGTTAAAATATATATATATATACAATTAATTATATACTTCTCTCTCTATATAATATAGAATTTTATTTTTTTTTTTTGAAATTCTTTTTTTTTTTTTAATTTTGTCAGCAAAATTTGCTAGTGTGCCTTGAAATTTGCAAAAAAAAAAATATAATTTATTAAAATCTGTTGAATTAATTTATACAAGATAACTTTTCAATAATAATATATAGTAATATATTATAAATTGTTAAGGGTACATTTAAATTATTTTATTAAACAATATGTTGGAGTTCAATTAAATTATTATTAATTAATAATAGTAACAGCAAAACAAATATAAATTAATATTATTAAAAAAAGAAAATATAAAAGCAAAAACAAAATATTATATTGCTATAATTGATTATTATAATTATAATGTATATGAAATTTCGTTAAAGGAATAATGATTTATTAATCAAGAAAAAAATAAACAAGAAAAAAATAAAAGAAAAATGAAACAAAAGAGAGAATAAAAAGAGGTGTAGAAAAGAATTAATAAAAAATTTATTTAGAAAATTATAGTCAAATTTTTAGTAAAATAATTAAAGCAAACCATTTGCAAAGTTATTAGTTTAAAAGAATTTAATATCTACTGTAAAATGTATTAAATATTATTAATTTAAAAACAATTTTAAAACAACAAAAAACAACAACAACAAAATCACAACAAGCATACACACGCGTCCTTTCATTAAAAAAATAATAACCCCCAAAATAACTATCAAATTCATCAATATTTTTAAGAAAGATTAATTAATATTACTTTCGTAAAAATGATTTAAAGTAATTGAGTCTAATAAGTATATCTCAACTAATCGTCGTGATAATGAATAATATTACTGCTAGTAGTAATCTTTTGAAACATAATTGATTTCCACATTTAATTTTTGTGGAGCATAAGCCCTGTATAATTAATTTGAATAATTCAGAGGTACTTATAATAATGGGAAACGTTGTCAAGCTTCTAGTATTTTTTATCACTTCATTTACGAATACATTCTGTATTTTATTACCTATATTGTGCTCCGATTCCTATCAAAATTGAGACGATCAGGATTTACTAAATTGTAAATCAATTTGAAACTAAGATATGACTTACGATATTCTTTGCACCAGGTCTGTGAAATTTAATATAGGTACCGATTTACG